TACAATAATCGTTTCTATCAAGTGCTGCATAAACTGACGACGTTTCGGTCCGACTTGGACCGAAACGGCGTCATAAGTCACACTAACACATGAATTAGAGGAACCCAATATATAATATATATATATATATATATATATATATATATATATATATATATATATATATATATATATATTATATATATATATATATATATATATATATATAGGCTTCCTCTAATTCAAGTGTTAGTGTGACTTATGACGCCGTTTCGGTCCAAGTATGCACCTGGAGAAGAGAGGAATGTAGAGGAGAGAGAGAGATTTTGGAAGATGTTAAGTGAATGTATAGAGCCTTTGAACCAAGTGAGAGAGTAATTGTGGTAGGGGACCTGAATGCTAAAGTAGGAGAAACTTTTAGAGAGGGTGTGGTAGGTAAGTTTGGGGTGCCACGTGTAAATGATAATGGGAGCCCTTTGATTGAACTTTGTATAGAAAGGGGTTTAGTTATAGGTAATACATATTTTAAGAAAAAGAGGATAAATAAGTATACAAGATATGATGTAGGGCGAAATGATAGTAGTTTGTTGGATTATGTATTGGTAGATAAAAGACTGTTGAGTAGACTTCAGGATGTACATGTTTATTGAGGGGTCGCAGATATATCAGATCACTTTCTAGTTGTAGCTACATTGAGAGTAAAAGGTAGATGGGATACAAGGAGAATAGAAGCATCATGGAAGAGAGAGGTGAAGGTTTATAAACTAAAAGAGGAGGCAGTTAGGGTAAGATATAAACAGCTATTGGAGGATAGATGGGCTAATGAGAGCATAGGCAATGGGGTCGAAGAGGTATGGGGTGGGTTTAAAAATGTAGTGTTAGAGTGTTCAGCAGAAGTTTGTGGTTACAGGAAAGTGGGTGCGGGAGGGAAGAGGAGCGATTGGTGGAATGATGATGTAAAGAGAGTAGTAAGGGAGAAAAAGTTAGCATATGAGAAGTTTTTACAAAGTAGAAGTGATGCAAGGAGGGAAGAGTATATGGAGAAAAAGAGAGAGGTTAAGAGAGTGGTGAAGCAATGTAAAAAGAGAGCAAATGAGAGAGTGGGTGAGATGTTATCAACAAATTTTGTTGAAAATAAGAAAAAGTTTTGGAGTGAGATTAACAAGTTAAGGAAGCCTAGCGAACAAATGGATTTGTCAGTTAAAAATAGGAGAGGAGAGTTATTAAATGGAGAGTTAGAGGTATTGGGAAGATGGAGGGAATATTTTGAGGAATTGTTAAATGTTGATGAAGATAGGGAAGCTGTGATTTCATGTATAGGGCAAGGAGGAATAACATCTTGTAGGAGTGAGGAAGAGCCAGTTGTGAGTGTGGGGGAAGTTCGTGAGGCAGTAGGTAAAATGAAAGGGGGTAAGGCAGCTGGGATTGATGGGATAAAGATAGAAATGTTAAAAGCAGGTGGGGATATAGTTTTGGAGTGGTTGGTGCAATTATTTAATAAATGTATGGAAGAGGGTAAGGTACCTAGGGATTGGCAGAGAGCATGCATAGTTCCTTTGTATAAAGGCAAAGGGGACAAAAGAGAGTGCAAAAATTATAGGGGGATAAGTCTGTTGAGTATACCTGGTAAAGTGTATGGTAGAGTTATTATTGAAAGAATTAAGAGTAAGACGGAGAATAGGATAGCAGATGAACAAGGAGGCTTTAGGAAAGGTAGGGGGTGTGTGGACCAGGTGTTTACAGTGAAACATGTAAGTGAACAGTATTTAGATAAGGCTAAAGAGGTCTTTGTGGCATTTATGGATTTGGAAAAGGCGTATGACAGGGTGGATAGGGGGGCAATGTGGCAGATGTTGCAAGTGTATGGTGTGGGAGGTAGGTTACTGAAAGCAGTGAAGAGTTTTTACGAGGATAGTGAGGCTCAAGTTAGAGTATGTAGGAAAGAGGGAAATTATTTCCCAGTAAAAGTAGGCCTTAGACAAGGATGTGTGATGTCACCGTGGTTGTTTAATATATTTATAGATGGGGTTGTAAGAGAAGTAAATGCGAGGGTCTTGGCAAGAGGCGTGGAGTTAAAAGATAAAGAATCACACATAAAGTGGGAGTTGTCACAGTTGCTCTTTGCTGATGACACTGTGCTCTTGGGAGATTCTGAAGAGAAGCTGCAGAGATTGGTTGATGAATTTGGTAGGGTGTGTAAAAGAAGAAAATTAAAAGTGAATACAGGAAAGAGTAAGGTAATGAGGATAACAAAAAGATTAGGTGATGAAAGATTGGATATCAGATTGGAGGGAGAGTATGGAGGAGGTGAATGTATTCAGATATTTGGGAATGGACGTGTCAGCGGATGGGTCTATGAAAGATGAGGTGACTCATAGAATTGATGAGGGGAAAAGGGTGAGTGGTGCACTTAGGAGTCTGTGGAGACAAAGAACTTTGTCCTTGGAGGCAAAGAGGGGAATGTATGAGAGTATAGTTTTACCAACGCTCTTATATGGGTGTGAAGCATGGGTGATGAATGTTGCAGCGAGGAGGAGGCTGGAGGCAGTGGAGATGTCATGTCTGAGGGCAATGTGTGGTGTGAATAAAATGCAGAGAATTCGTAGTTTGGAAGTTAGGAGGAGGTGCAGGATTACCAAAACTGTTGTCCAGAGGGCTGAGGAAGGGTTGTTGAGGTGGTTCGGACATGTAGAGAGAATGGAGCGAAACAGAGTGACTTCAAGAGTGTATCAGTCTGTAGTGGAAGGAAGGCGGGGTAGGGGTCGGCCTAAGAAAGGTTGGAGGGAGGGGGTAAAGGAGGTTTTGTGTGCGAGGGGCTTGGACTTCCAGCAGGCATGCGTGAGCGTGTTTGATAGGAGTGAATGGAGACAAATGGTTTTTAATACTTGACGTGCTGTTGGAGTGTGAGCAAAGTAACATTTCTGAAGGGATTCAGGGAAACCGGCAGGCCGGACTTGAGTCCTGGAGATGGGAAGTACAGTGCCTGCACTCTGAAGGAGGGGTGTTAATGTTGCAGTTTAAAAACTGTAGTGTAAAGCACCCTTCTGGCAAGACAGTGATGGAGTGAATGATGGTGAAAGTTTTTCTTTTTCGGGCCACCCTGCCTTGGTGGGAATCGGCCAGTGTGATAATAAAATAAATAAATAAATAAATGAATAAATATATATATATATATATATATATATATATATATATATATATATATATATATATATTATAATATATATATATATATATATATATATATATGAGAAGGAGGACAGAGACACAACAGAGAGGAAGAAAGAAGTGGAGAAATAATGATACATTTAATGCTGGTAGTGGAAGTAGTAGTGGGAGTAGTCTACCACTGCTCTCCTACTTAATACTACTTCCACTAGCAGCATTACCTCTACCACTACTTCTCCACTTCTTTCTTCCTCTCTTTGTCTCGTCCCTGTCCCCCTCCCCCATATATACAGGATTTCGTCCCTGTCCCCCTCTCCTATAGATACTGGCTTTCGCCCCTGTCCCCCTTCCCTATATATGCACTGGTTCCCGTTCCTTCGTGTATTAGTGTGACTTGTAAATGGTCAAAGTCGGACCGAAACGTCGCTATAAGCTTCTCTCCTATGTGCTGGTTATTTATACATTATGTTTGGTCAAGTAGGATTACAGGTGCTTGTGAATCACGTTCTCAGATATTTCTGATAGTGTTGGTAGATTAGATATTGGACCTGTAATTGTTAGAGATGGTTTGATCACCACTTTGTACATGGGTGTTATCCTGGCCCTTTTGGGAGAGTCTGGTAACGTGTGTTCTTCAAATTATTTGTTGAGAAATATTGAAATAGGTGGAAATAATATTTGTGCAACTTTCTCGTAGATATTGTTTCTTTCGTATCGTTCGCTGACTTTCAAAGTCATTTAATGAATGAAACTAATTTAGAGGTTGTGTTAATTAAGAAGGTTAAATTATTTTTACTCAGTTTGCTACCGATATTGGTTGGTTGGTTTATTAACGGGGTTCAAAGCTTATCGACAACACTAGGGTAATTAAGTAAGCTTATTAAGGTAGTTACACAGTTCTTGGATTATGACAATGGTTTTACATAGTAACGTAAATTTTCCATGATAACCTGAAAAGTCAGTGACTTATTTCCACTGGGCTTCTTTCACTACCTTACCATTATCAGTCTAGCTATTCAATACAGTAAACTGTTAAGCTTATACACATTATCAGAAGCTGAGGATGTTCCTTTGTTTAGGAGATTAGTTGTTTACGTTTTATTGATTTTTTGACCCTTAATTTGGGATGCTTTTCCAAGTTGTTTAATATCACCTTTGGAGTCAGTAGATCTAAAGAATATTAAGTAAGCATATATAAGTACAGATACACGTTTTGTGGATGATTACGACTGTCCTACATAGTAACGTGTGTGTATTACCAATTATTATAATCAAGGGGAAGCGCTAAAGCCGTACGATTATACAACGCCTGTGGGGGGAATGTGGAAGGTATTCAGGCTTAATTCAGGGAACTGGAGCACAGATCCAATTCGCCAGATCAAGAGCCCCTCACCAGCGTCACGGTACCTCCCTCGAGGGGTGTACATTACCTAAGATAACCCGAAAAGTCAAATAGTGACTATTTCCATTGAGGTCCTTGAGTAGCTGTGTTTGGATAATCAAACTCTTCAAGTTAAAATGCATTATTTGCACTATACGCAAATGAAATGACAGCTAAAAATAAATGGAAGTATTACATTTTCTAGCATCCACCATGTGACTCAGAGGTGCATGAATCAATTCTTGACTCAGGAGACATCTGCGATGAATAGTCTCGACTTCATCTCTATGGTAGAAAATGGGAATAATTTCTCCCTGAGGGAAATGTAAGAATTTACCTTTGCACGGTATATAAAGCCCTTTGTGAACGTTACATATATTTATAATGTTAATTTAAGCAGAGGGGTTGTGCACATAGGGACATATAACAAGAGAAGTGAAGGTACGCACTTTGTTTTCATGGGAGAGAGGTGGGTGAAGTCGAGGGTGTGTGTCAGTGGTGCTGTCGTTGTCAGCTGTTCCGTGTTTTCATCTACGTCACCCATCTCTGCCCCTTTATCGAGATGTCCTACGCTTATTTATTCAAGTATATCATTATCGGAGACACTGGTTAGTATTAGTAGATGCAAAGGAACAAGAGATTTATGGTCTTGTAAGGAAACATGGGCCACAAGTGGTGAGAATCGGCTTTGATATCAGCGGTCCTCCAATATGGCGAAAATCGATTTGCTTGGGTAAACTTGGTGTTGATAATGTTTGTCCCATTTTATATTGTAATCAGGACGTTCAGGTACTTTCTACGAAGATGTCTGAGACGTTCTCTTTGTTTTAGGATCGTTAAAAATGTGACGGGAACCATGCAGAGTATTATAGACTAAGGCTTGCAGGTTGTCACGCGTCTTTTAATATCTTGTAGTGTTGGGGAAAAAAGAGTGTATGTCCCATTATCCATAATATAACATGTCAAACTATAACATAAATTTACTTAAAAAGGTTACAGGGAGAAATTTTCACAAGCTTTAACAATATTTAAGAATATGTATTGAGGAAGGGAATATGAACTGTCAAGTAACTTCTTAAAGCATCTTAACTACAAACTGTTATTGTATATTTAATAACAGTTGGGTTATCCTAGCTTCAGTCTACATAATGTACTTTTTGTGCCCATAACATGTGGCCTCAAGACCATTGTAAGATAAACTTGTGTACCCTAAGTCTAACTAAAAACTTGTTAGCATTCAACTCAGCAAGGGAGTGGCAGTGGACATGTCTAGGGGTTCTGCTTTATTTTTGGGATAGATGTACATTTAGTAGAAGGTACTAACATTTACTCAAGAGTGCATTTTATTTGGAATGATCATTCCTAGTTTTTTTTTTTTTTTTTTTTTTTTTTTTTTTTTTTTTTTGTACATAATGAACTTTCAAGGTGAATGTGCGATATGAAGATGGGTTAGTTTTTATATCTTCCTTCATACCATGAGAATAATGACTGGCACTTTTCTTATGGTATTTTGAGCATATTAGCCTATTTCATTTTATCTTGTTAGGAAATTTCTCTACATCTGACATAATCATTAATATTAACAAGTTACCCAGGCATTGTCCAACATAATTTAGACTGAGATTTGGGTAGTAACATTAGTTTAAATTAGTGCTTACCAATAGCTTGATTAAATTTATATATAGAAGAACTCTTTGCCAGTAGGAAACTATCCGAAACTTTTCCTCACTGACTGTTGACTTGGGAATGTCAGCAAGATCACTTGCATTTTATTTTGACCTTGATAAATATCCGTTTTTTGGGGGCCACTGCTTTATATTATGAAAGTCTTCTGAAGAAATCAATCTGTTCAAAATTTTTTTAACAACAAATGAAAGATGATCTGTTGAGAGGATCATACTATTTTTTGGTCATTAGACTCTTAGGGTATAGTAAGATTGTCTAGATTAGCATAGATCACTTGAACATGTTAGAAAGTATTGTAAGTAAATGGATGATGCGTACTCACTTGATGAACTAGAGTAGAAGAATACTGGTCCTAGATTATTTCCTTCCCTTTTCACAGTGTGAGGAAAAAGACATAACAATCCTAATATACATAAAGTATTGTACAACACAAAATTATTAAAGCATCAGCAGTTCTTGCCATGTGCATGTAGAGGCAAAATCTCAAATCGGAATATTGTACTGTACTAGCAAACCATTTTAATTTGTATTGTATGACTAAGAGTTGCCTCAACATTAAGCAGATAATTGCCAGTTACCTCAGTTTCATAACACATATAGGTCAGGAAATACAGTATATACTGATCGATAGATGCTAAAAGTGAAAAGCTAAAATTAAAAAATGTAAAAAATTGCCAACATTATCCAGGTTATCATTGCAATGTGCAGTAGAGATCATTAAATATTAAACATGTGCTCTAGAATATCTTTATAAAGTTAAATACATTTATAATATTGTCATGGAATTTGCATTAGTAGCTATGTGGTTTTTAATCATAAGTAAACTATAAATACCATAACAAGATTCATAAAAGTATTCTTTATCTTTATTATCCCAAATCTTTGCTTGTTGGAAAAAAAAACACTGCAGTTTATTTAATTAATGTCTTTCAGTAGGTTAGGTATTAAAACTTATTGGACAGGTAATATTTATGTATATACAGTATATGTATATAATGCTCCAGTGAACATTAACAAACAACTTCTACAGATAGTAGTGGGCTGAAATACCATGTATTGTACTCGAGTAGCTTAATTTTTTAAACACATCAGTTGTTTCCCACCAAGAAAAGGCAAAACATTCACTAGTACTCATTCTCTAGCTGTCTTGACACAAGTTCATGAACTTGACCGTTTAAATGATCTTTCTAACTACATCATACCCACCAGAGTGTAGGCAAAATACCCCTCACCTCCAGAGCCAATTCCACCTAACTAGTTTTACTGAATCCCTCTTGCTAAACAGCATGTTAGATCCCTTCACAAACCTCTACCACTTAAAACTTCATTCCAACACTGGGATGTTCCCTACACCTTCCATCCATTCCAGATTCATACACCAATCTTATCCTGCTCCATCCTTGCTATGTGATTAAACCATCTTAACAATTTCCTTCTGTCCTTCATGAAATGTACCTTTTATACCACTTCACCATCCTCTTAATTTCTCTCCCAGTTCTCTACATTATGTATGCACATGTTGGTCATAGACTATATCACTGCATCCAACCTTCTCTTTGCTGCAACATTCAAAGATCATGCCTCACACCCATACAAAAGTGTTGGCACCACTCTTATCATTCTTACATTCCCAATTTTGCATTTATTAATAAACTTATTTCAATAGACTTTTCAACACTGCTAATATCTTTTATCCCTCGTCTGTTTTACCTTGAACTAAAGAACTGAAGCTATGCTCCCTCAAATCAAACTTGGGTACCTCTTGTTCTGCAGGCACTATATATGTCCTCTTATGGGCAAGACCTGGCAGTTAAAATTGTAGTATAAAGTCTTGCCCTACCTGGACCCAAATTGGGTGTTTTCAACTTCAGTGACTTGCTTTTCCCATCAAATATTCCAAGGTACCTCACCTACATGGTTGGGCAAGGTGACATCCTCATTGGACAGACCAATCTCTGGTCAGTCGTTAGCAGGTCATCCACATGTTTGGTGAAGGGTCCTCTGACTGTGACTAAGCTTGGGGCTTGCCTGGTCATGGTCATTCTCGTGCATGGTGTATGTACAGCAGCAAAGTTGGTCTGGCCCCTCAGGCTGATGCTTGGCCATGCATTTCCTGGTATGGCTTTACCCAGGGGCCACATTGAGGTCATATCACACAGAATGTGCTGACATGTTTGTCAGCTATTTGGTCAAATTACCCTTCTCTGACTGGGCTATTTGACCAGCCTCCCCCTGGGATTCCACCACAATTCAACAGCTGCTTCCTTCGATTCTAAGGTACTGGTTTATACAATTCCAGGATGGCCCCCAGGGGCTCCAACTGCTGAATGCTACATTTTGATTAGAAAACACATTTCTGCGTAAGGGCACCAAGGAACCCACAGTTTCCTCTGCCTCCGCTAGCTGTTATGTTTTGAATGCCGACTGGAGTTTGGGGCTTTACCGGGCTCCCAGCTGATGTCAGACATAACAAGCAAACTACCTTAGCGAGTGGTGGTGGTGGTGAAAGGGGCCGTAAACTGAGCATAAGATGCGAGATGGAACCTGCTGGGGTCAGAGAGGTGAGTATCGGTTTGAATAAGATATGGCGTATTCCTGGTGGGTTCCCTGGGGCCCTTGTGCAGAAATGTGCTCATGCATCTTACCCTATAAATACTGTTTGTAGAGGTGTTTTAAATTTTGCATGTTTAAAAAATATCACTGTGCTCATTAAGTTGGTGTTGATTCATGTTTACTTCATTTTGTATTTAGTTTTTAAGTCTTCAATGTGTAAAATATTTAAATGTTATTCACAGAATTGAACGAAGTTGATCATTGGTAAGAACTAATATACCGTACTAAATGAAGATGCATTCTAAAACTAACACAATTCATTCTATATGCATCCATTAATAATAATAGTGTTTTTTTTTTATTTTTTCATGCTTTTAAGCTTTGTCATTCTTATTAACAGGTGTGGGAAAATCATGCCTTTTGCTGCAGTTTACAGACAAAAGATTTCAACCTGTCCATGATCTCACCATTGGAGTTGAATTTGGTGCACGCATGATCACAATTGACAATAAACAGATCAAGCTCCAGATATGGGACACAGTGAGTAGGATTTGCAGTTTTGGCTTTAAATATTTGGACTAGCAAAGTGCTTTACCACATTTTAGCTTAGTAAAATGCACTGCTACAGTATTTTGATATCAGTGCTTAAAAGAAAAGGTTTAAGGTAAAAGGCCTAACAGATGTTATATATTGCTTATGCTTTACAGATACCAGAGTATTTTTTACCCAGTAATTGCATTTATGAACAAGTGAGAAATAAGATACGAGCAGTATAATTTTAAGGTAATTTTGATCAAAGGTGAGTGTGCCTGAAAATATTAAAATGAAGTTGATGTAGGTATAATTTTTAGTGGTGAATTTACAAACAAACATGATGAATATTTCCTGTAGCTTTCCTTCATTTTTAATTGGTTTCTATATAAGTACTGTACAGTACAGTGGTAAGGTACACTCTTATTATGTTACCCCTTTTACACCTTTTTTGGGAAAGTACTGTCCCAGAAAGGATAATAAAATATTGGTTGCCCAGTTAGTTACGAAGAAAGTGTCATTTATTTGGGAGAAAAGCTAAAGTGCTCAAATAGGCTTTGCCATTATTTTCTCTTGGGAAGAGGGTGGAAGATTTCTACATTTAGCACTTATTTTCCTTAGATACTTAATATATAGTTACTTTTTTTTTTTTGTAAAATTATTCCAAAACACTTCTAATATGGCTGTTGATATTCCTAACAACTTATTTTTTCATTGTATTATAAGAGATACATCATATTATCATAATATTTTTTTTCTTTAAAAAATCCATGCTCTAGGATATTTTTGAATTATTTATTATCAAAAGCAGTACGGTATTGTACCTTGTATCCATTTTTGGTAAATATACAAAAAGCTTATTCATATAAATTTTAATGCATCTGGTTCATCTCTGCTTTCTTATCTGCAATGACCAGATACATGCACACACAAAAAAAGTCTGTAAATTAAGTCATTATTTTCCCTCTAAGGTGAATAAATTAAGTTTATTTTACTAGTCTATAACTCAGTATCTGACTTCATCACATAATCATGCAAAGCGATTCAAAAGTGTAACCCAAAAAAGTTCAGTAGTGCATGAAAATCTTATTTGGTGATTGTGAAAGTGTCAGTTTGCAGCCTGTGGGATCAGTGAGAGATCTAGGTGTCTACTGTACCTGGATTCATTATTGCTGTTTGTTGGACACCTCAGCCAAATTGTTGAATTTTGCACTTCTTATATTTGTAATCTCTGTGCAGTCAGAAAATATTTTGATAAGCCAAGTATCTCTGTCCTTAGCCACACACATTTCCTCTTGAATTGATTTTTTCAATTGTTTGCTTGTGGGTTTGCTTAACTGCTTGCTAAAATCATAAATCTACTGAATTGTACTGGTAGACAGGTATTTTCATCTCCTGGGGGTTCCCCAATAGCCCCTGCTTATTTGAGCTGCATCCTTCCTATCAACCCAAGAATTTTAAATTTAACATTTTTTTTTTAACTTTAAACTATTAATTTTAACCCTTTAGGGTTTTCGTCGTACAGTACGTCTTACGCGTGGGGGGTTTTTGACTACTAGTCCATAAATTCTACGGCCTAAAATCTCGCGCGAAAAGGTGATAGGCCTAGGTGTGAGAGAAGGGGTGCGTGGTCAGTGTGCGCGGTAAAAAAAAAATTGGGGGACCCATGGTGCATTGTGGGAATGCCCCTTTAAAAACAATGTCCCCCAGTCGGGGAAAAAGCTCCTCACTCCTGGGCAAATTTGGGCCCTTTTTTTCCCCAGTCATTTTAATGTAGGAAAAGGCCCAGTAAAAGAGATTTTTGGGGTTTTTTAGGGGGTTTTTGACCGAACTAATGACCAAATATCGGTAATATTTTTGGAAAACCAGCGACCCTCCCCTTTCCCCCCTCTGGTGCTGGCCCCTTTTACGTTCATTTTTTCAGCCCCAAGAAAAAATTTCTATTTTCCCCCAAATCCCAACCAAGAGGCATGGGGATGAAGTGATAGTAATATGAATAAAAGCTTTTCAAACTATTCCGATGATAGTGAAGGCAATTTTCCCGGGAAAGCGTCAGTAAAAACCGACGAAATATGCGTTGGAAGTGTGCCTATTTTATCCCGGGGGAAGGAGTGTATCCGAATACATCCCTGGTGTACAACAGAACAGACAGGGGAAAATGACGAAGATACTGTTGAAATTTGGGGATGGAAAATGGGTCGTGGTGGTAGGGGGCCCGGGGGTGAGGCACCGCGGGGGCCATCTCCCACCCACTGCCGCCACCCCGGGCCCAGCGATCTAAAAAAAAGGCCCCATCCCCCACTCCCCACCACACCAGCCTCCACAACCACAACCCCAAACCACACCCACAACACCAAACCTCCACAACCAAAACCACCTGAAAGCCAGTCCCCCACCAGCAGACCGCCCTGGGATTGGCGGGAACTGTAAATTTTGTTCCCCAAATCCCCCCCAGTTGGGGAGCCAAAGTGGAATACGGCCATCTTGTGCATTTGGGGGAACAATGCCACTGAACTGGAAGTTTTGAATTTTCTTTGAGAACCACGATAAAAATATTGTCGGAAAGCAACACATACACTACACCAGGGCAAACCCCCAAAACTTTACCAAAACAGTCTCACCATGGAAGGACAATGGGTAAAATGTATTTTTTCTTTCCCCACATAATGCTTATGCCACATGTGTAAAGCACAAAGTAAAATCATCGGTCAACACCCCCCCGTTTGCAACACCGGGTTTCAGTGATAAATGCCAGTGAATCGTTTTGTGCTAAAGTTACTATTCTTCACCTCATAAAAAACCCGGCCTACGAACGACAGGGGTTTTAAAAAGATTAGGAATGTGTTTGTGTACTGAAACAGAAATTCAGTACTCTTTTTTCCCTTCGGAAAAATTGTAATTTAGGGGTTTTGTTTGTTCAAGGAAGACTCCTTTTAAGCAGTTCTACCAAGCAGAGGAAAAAAAATTTTTAAAAGTTGTTTGTGCTTTGGGGATTGTTACAGTGGGCTGGGATTGGAAAATTTTTGTTAAAACCCGGGAAATTATACATTCAAAATACCAGGAATTATTGGGTCCAGGGGATGTGGTTTAACAAGATAGAAACCCTCCTTTGGGAAGGGGCTTATTATAACAAAAATGGTACACAAGCCCCTCCTCAGGAATTTTTTGCGAGTGAAAAATGAAGATGTTGTGGCACAGTGCTGCAAATCGAAAAAAATATTCCCAGTTATGTGGGGCCCCCCGCAGAGGTGAGGTGCAGGCGTTTTTGCCAAAAACCATGCATTTCGGTGGCAAAACGAGATGTCACAAAAAGTTTTCATCAATTCACCCTAATGAAATGGGAACAGTGGGCAGGGAGATGAGGGAAAGAACCCATTTAAAACCTCAGCGGATTATTACACCTTCAACATGCGTTCAGTGGACAAATGGACATAAATTTTTTTGGGATTGGTTTGCAAGAGTTTAAAAAAGGGACACAAACGTTTTTAATTTTTTCTGGACATTCCATCTCAATGCTTATTATTAAGATGGCACCAGAAAAAAACCACAGTCGGCGAATTTTGTTTTTCTGTCATCAACAAATAGTATTCAAGTTACCAAGGAAAAGCACCGCAATTGACCGCCCACCAAAAAATCAACAACACCGCTCGTCTGAAACATGGTGATACTTCCCGGTAAAAATGCCCGCTACTGCTTTGAAAGAAAAAGGCTCAAAGAGGTGTTTCTCGTTACTACAAAAAAACGCCCACGACAACGCAGAGAACCGTTTTTTGTGTGAGGGTGCAAAAAACTCCCCTGTGCATGACCCATGTTTTAAAGATTTCCCCACTTGCAGAACTTCTAAAACTGCCTGTGGTAAAGTGTATATAAAAAATAGAAAAATATAATAAACAACAATTTTATATTTTTTTGTTTGTGTAAATATTTTTTTGTAAAAAAATAAGACAACAGTGTTTTTGCCCTTTTTGGGTTTTGAAAAAAATAACTTACAAAAAACTATCATGTTGCCTCAAGGCCATAAAAGTTACTCAGAAAAAAAAAAATGAAAAAAAGTACATAAAAAAAATAAATAGAAAAAAAACCGGGACGGGAGTCGGCGATTTACCATATGTTGTTCAATTTTGGGAAAATTTCACACCTCCATATTCGGTAAGATTGACGCTAAAATTTTTTTGTTTGCCTATAATGTTTAAAAAAAAACTCTAATTTTTTTTATAAAAAAATAATTTTTTTTTTTTTTTTTAAAATTTGGGCCCACCCGAAACGAGTTCGGAGAGGGGGCCGCGACCCTCAAAGGGTTAATGAACCAAAGTACTTTCTGATACTGTACCTTTTTGTTGGTTTACGTTTTTACTGGCCCCAAATTGCCATGGACCCTTTTTATTGATTACTTTATGCTGTTGGAGAAATCTTTTCAGAAGAGCCTTTTCTTTGAAGTTATGATTGTTAAAGGTTTTCCCGTCTCAGGGAATCTTCATTTTGAGTCCGGTTGAAAGTAGTCTCTTTCTAGAGCTTAGATCCTGTGATTATATTGCACTTTTGATTAAGTTTAGGGTTTTTTCTTCTCAGGTTGTTTATTTTAAAGGGTTGGTGCACAAGTGCTGGTGAAATTTTTTGGGCAAAAGGTGCCAAGAAAAAAACAAAATACCCAAAATTTGTGTTACAGGGGAAAAATTACGTGTGAAAATTTGACAACTCGTGAAATTTTGGGACTCTCGGGCCCTGGTGGAAAGGAAACTGCCCCCTGTTGGTGTAGCGAAACAACAATTTTTTAATAAAAGGGAAATTTTTTTGCAAAAGTTCGCAGATTGTAAAACCCCAGTTGGGATCATTTTTAGTGTAGTAGTGAGAGTTACTTTGGTTGATCCCATAGCTACAGGAAGCTGTCACTGCTGACTTTATGGAAGCTATTTCTAAGAATGGTTACAATCCCAAGCAAGTGTTTAATACAGAAGAAACAGGGTTATGTTGGGAGCATATGCTGTCAAGAACTTATATTAACAAGCAAGAACAATTTGCACCTATCCTCAAGGACTACCTTAACTTCTGTGCATAAATGCAGTGAAGGTAATTTCAAGTACAAACCTATGCTTGTTGTGATATAATCTAGTGACACTTATTTGGATGCTGTTACATATAGCCTAGGTGGCTATTTGATCAGTTGATGCACTCACCAGAATACTTTAAGAAGTCAGTTCTTTCTTTCTTTCAACACACCGGCCGTATCCCACAGAGGCGGGGTCGCGCAAAAGGAAAAACAGAAGTTTCTCCTTTTACATTTAGTAATATATACAGGAGAAGAGGTTACTAGCCCCTTGCTCCTGATGAAGTCAATTATGCTTCTTAAATATCTCGAACCATTGAGCACTAAATGTAGTGTGATAGTATTATAGTATTATTTATAGTATTATTATTATTTATTAATATTATTTATAGTATTATTTATAGAGGGGCAACTGATGTATCGGATCATTATTTAGTTGTAGCTGCAGTTAGAGTAAGAGGTAGATGGGAAAAGAGGAAGGTGGCAACAACAAGTAAGAGGGAGGTGAAAGTGTATAAACTAAGGAAGGAGGAAGTTCGGGTGAGATATAAGCGACTATTGGCAGAAAGGTGGGCTAGTGCAAAGATGAGTAGTGGGGGGTGGGTTGAAGAGGGTTGGAATAGTTTTAAAAATGCAGTATTAGAATGTGGGGCAGAAGTTTGTGGTTATAGGAGGGTGGGGGCAGGAGGAAAGAGGAGTGATTGGTCTAATGATGAAGTAAAGGGTGTGATAAAAGAGAAAAAGGTAGCTTATGAGAGGTTTTTACAAAACAGAAGTGTTATAAGAAGAGCAGAGTATATAGAGAGTAAAAGAAAGGTAAAGAGAGTGGTGAGAGAGTGCAAAAGGAGAGCAGATGATAGAGTGGGAGAGGCACTGTCAAAAAATTTTTTAATGAAAATAAGAAAAAAATTTTGGAGTGAGTTAAAACAAGTTAAGAAAGCCTAGGGAAAGTATGGATTTGTCAGTTAAAAACAGAGTAGGGGAGTTAGTAGTTGGGGAGATGGAGGTATTAGGTAGATGGCGAGAATATTTTGAATAACTTTTAAATGTTAAGGAAGAAACAGAGGCAGTAATTTCATGCACTGGTCAGGGAGGTATACCATCTTTTAGGAGTGAAGAAGAGCAGAATGTAAGTGTGGGGGAGGTACGTGAGGCATTACGTAAAATGAAAGGGGGTAAAGCAGCTGGAACTGATGGGATCATGACAGAAATGTTAAAAGCAGGGGGGGATATAGTGTTGGAGTGGTTGGTACTTTTGTTTAATAAATGTATGAAAGAGGGGAAGGTACCTAGGGATTGGCGGAGAGCATGTATAGTCCCTTTATATAAAGGAAAGGGGACAAAAGAGACTGTAAAAATTATAGAGGAATAAGTTTACTGAGTATACCAGGAAAAGTGTACGGTAGGGTTATAATTGAAAGAATTAGAGGTAAGACAGAATGTAGGATTGCGGATGAGCAAGGAGGTTTCAGAGTGGTAGGGGATGTGTAGATCAAGTGTTTACATTGAAGCATATATGTGAACAGTATTTAGATAAAGGTAGGGAAGTTTTTATTGCATTTATGGATTTAGAAAGGCATATGATAGAGTGGATAGAGGAGCAATGTGGCAGATGTTGCAAGTATATGGAATAGGTGGTAAGTTATTAAATGCTGTAAAGAGTTTTTATGAGGATAGTGAGGCTCAGGTTAGGGTGTGTAGAAGAGAGGGAGACTATGTCCCAGTAAAAGTAGGTCTTAGACAGGGATGTGTAATGTCACCATGGTTGTTTAATATATTTATAGATGGGGTTGTAAAGGAAGTAAATGCTAGGGTATTCGGGAGAGGGGTGGGATTAAATTTTGGGGAATCAAATTCAAAATGGGAATTGACACAGTTACTTTTTGCTGATGATACTGTGCTTATGGGAGATTCTAAAGAAAAATTGCAAAGGTTAGTGGATGAGTTTGGGAATGTGTGTAGAGGTAGAAAGTTGAAAGTGAACATAGAAAAGAGTAAGGTGATGAGTGTGTCAAATGATTTATATAAAGAAAAATTGGATATCAAATTGGGGAGTAGTAGTATGGAAGAAGTGAATGTTTTCAGATACTTGGGAGTTGACGTGTCGGTGGATGGATTTATGAAGGATGAGGTTAATCATAGAATTGATGAGGGAAAAAAAGGTGAGTGGTGCATTGAGGTATATGTGGAGTCAAAAAATGTTATCTATGGAGGCAAAGAAGGGAATGTATGAAAGTATAGTAGTACCAACACTTATATGGGTGTGAAGCTTAGGTGGTAAATGCAGCAGCGAGGAGACGGTTGGAGGCAGTGGAGATGTCCTGTTTAAGGGCAATGTGTGGTGTAAATATTATGCAGAAAATTCGGAGTGTGGAAATTAGGAAAAGGTGTGGAGTTAATAAAAGTATTAGTCAGAGGGCAGAAGAGGGGTTGTTGAGGTGGTTTGGTCATTTAGAGAGAATGGATCAAAGTAGAATGACATGGAAAGCATATAAATCTATAGGGGAAGGAAGGCGGGGTAGGGATCGTCCTCGAAAGGGTTGGAGAGAGGGGGTAAAGGAGGTTTTGTGGGTGAGGGGCTTGGACTTCCAGCAAGCGTGCGTGAGCGTGTTAGATAGGAGTGAATGGAAACGAATGGTACTTGGGACCTGACGATCTGTTGGAGTGTGAGCATGGTAATATTTAGTGAAGGGATTCAGGGAAACCGGTTATTTTCATATAGTCGGACTTGAGTCCTGGAAATGGGAAGTACAGTGCCTGCACTTTAAAGGAGGGGTTTTGGGATATTGGCAGTTTGGAGGGATATGTTGTGTATCTTTATATGTGTATGCTTCTAAACTGTTGTATTCTGAGCACCTCTGCAAAAACAGTGATAATGTGCGAGTGTGGTGAAAGTGTTGAATGATGATGAAAGTATTTTCTTTTTGGGGATTTTCTTTCTTTTTTGGGTCACCCTGCCTCGGTGGGAGACGGCCGACTTGTTGAAAAAAAAAAAAAAAAAAAAACATTGCCTTACCAAACTGTACCAAACAAACATTAACTTGCTACACCAAATGAACATCCAGTATACCAAAGATAAATGCAAATAATAAGGCCAGAGAAAAATATACATGGTATTAATGAAAAATGGGGAAGGCAGCTTGACATAATAACATAGAAATAATAAATTGCATTTCCTTACCAAAATGTAAGGAAACTTGACAAAACACTTTGTCAATAGATACCCAAGTGTTGCACATGTCTTGTTCTTTAGTTTGTTGGTATGTAAAGCATTTATAATACAGACACAGCAAGACCATGGCTTCTTGGTAAGGGGATGTCTTCAGCAACCATTGCTAACAGTTGTTGATCATGACCTACTTCCACTAGAGGTCCCAGCTCACCAATGACCTCATCTCCAAACTACTACACCTCACTTCTTCAATCATCTATGTCTGTCCTCGTGCCTCTGTTTTATGCTAAGAGACTGATTATATATCAAGGCTGAGGGCCTGCTTACCTGAGACTACTACTACACTTTGTCTCCAGGATTATAATTTATCTCTATATTTAACTGACGCCTGCTGTGCAGGGGGAAGCTTTTATGATAGAGATACACCTACCATCCGACTTAGGACCGAGTTCGGTTCCGAGAAACCGGTCGTAAGTCGAAATGGACGTAAGTTGAACTTTACTACTGAATATCAACATCACATTTTTGTAATGTAAGTAAGTAAGTTTATTCAGGTATACACAAATACAGTTACATAGAATTATCATACATAGCAGCATATGTGTAGAGAACCTAGGATAACCCAAAAAAGTCAGACACAGTGACTTATTTCCATTGGGGTCCTTTAAATGACTTTATTTTATTGTTTTATTTTGGTATTTCATGTTTTACTTCACTTTTTATGCTGTTAGTACTGTATTTTATACTGTAAGGTTTAGGATAAACACTGTGTACAACACAAATAGTTGTTTATTTCCCAGAAATTTGGCAAAAAAAACACGGTCGTAAGTCGAGTGGTCGTAAGTCGAGTGGTCGTAAGTCGAGCAGGTCGTAAGTCGGATGGTAGGTGTACCTAATTGTCCTAGTTGCATGTGTCTTGCTTGTCAGCTTGTTGGTATTATAAACCATTTACATGTATAATATAATCTGGATTCTATTTCAGAATGCAAATTATAATTTTTTAAAATAATGCATTTGTATTTAACAAAAGTTTGGCAAGCATATTAAACATGGCTAGTATTCAAGATTTTGGTCATTATACAGTATTTTAATTACAGGCTGGTCAGGAGGCATTCCGATCTATCACTCGGTCTTATTACCGAGGTGCAGCTGGAGCGCTCTTAGTATATGACATCACCAGGCGGGAAACATTTAATCACCTCACACAATGGCTGGAGGATGCCCGGCAGCATTCCAATTCCAACATGGTCATCATGCTCATTGGTAACAAAAGGTGAGGCAGTAGTCTGTTTTTTTATGCATGGCTTACGGAGGAAGAATTCTTCTTCACTTCCCCACGGAGTTTATGCTAATTATTATTTATTATTCTTTATTTATTATTGTTAATTTTTTTTTTCACATGGCTGTCTCCCACCAAGGCAGGGTGGGAGATGGCCAACACTTTTACCGTCATTCACACATAATCACTGTCTTTGCTGAGGTGCCCAGATACGACAGTTCAGAGTGTTAAAATTTTTTATTACCATTTTTATTTTTAATCATTATTACTATGATTGCTGCTGCTTGCTGTTTGCTGCTTGCTGCTGCTGCTTGCTTGCTGCTGTGTAGTTAAATATCAGAAGTAATACCATAAAGAACCTGTAATAAACGTAGAGAATACAAGGTCCGTTACGTTGTTCTATGGGTTTAAAGCCAGGGTCCTTGCTGTAGCACTATATGATGAGCTCAGCTCATTCAGATAAGCTGTGAGTGGTAAATTTGGGCCTAGATATGAGTGTGCGTGTCTTTGGTAAGTGTGCACCATATAAAAAAAATCCTGCAGCACGTATTGCAATATGAGAAAATAGCTGCGACTGGACTTCCAGCAAGCGTGCATGAGCGTGTTAGATAGGAGTGAATGGAGGCGAATGATACTTGGGACCTGACGATCTGTTGGAGTGTGAGCAGGGTAATATTTAGTGAAGGGATTCAGGGAAACCGGTTATGTTCATATAGTCGGACTTGAGTCCTGGAAATGGGAAGTACAATGCCTGCACTTTAAAGGAGAGGTTTGGGATATTGGCAGTTTGGAGGGATATGTTGTGTATCTTTATACGTATATGCTTCTAAACTGTTGTATTCTGAGCACCTCTGCAAAAGCAGTGATAATGTGTGAGTGTGGTGAAAGTGTTGAATGATGATGAAAGTATTTTCTTTTTGGGGATTTTCTTTCTTTTTTGGGTCACCCTGCCTCGGTGGGAGACGGCCGACTTGTTAAAAAAAAAAGAAAAAAAAAAAAAGCTGCGACTGTGTTTTTGGTTTAAAACAGTGACTTTGTGGTGCATTTTTGTACATTTTTTATGGTTGTATTAATGGTTTCTTGGTTTTATTTGATAGAATGGAAGATATATTACAAAAATAGAGATGATTTTCATTAGCTTTAGGACTGAAAATAGCTTGAAATTGAGCTCAAAGTAGCAGAAATGTTTGATTTTTGCCGATGTTCAGGAGTAAACATATCACATCACGTGTCCAATACACTTCAACTGGTGGGTCTAATATGCATACATGAATGCACTGATATTATTTATACAATTATTACAATATTGCATAACAATGTCTTCTATTTCTTGGTGTGAATAAAAAAAATCAAAATGGAGTTCATGTGTAAAGCCTGGAAATGTAACTAATGAACAGAAGAAATGTTATTTTAGTGCCAAGAATACCTGCATTGTTTATTCTGGATCTTATTTTGAAATTGGGGTATACAACTTTTCCTCACTTGACGACGAAGTTCCGTTCCTAAGACCACTTTGGTAAATGAATTCGTCGCTGAGTGAGGAGCATACTATAATGGTAGTGAGTTTGTGTCGACCATCTTTGATGTTGTTTTAATGTCACCTTTGCACCATTTATAACATTTCTGGTATATTTTTAAATGTTTCTACGATAGTGCAGTGTATATTGTTATAAACAGAATAGAAGAAATCAGCTCTAATATTCATTATTTAGGTATGCATAGTGCTCAAGAGAGCCCTTCATAAGTCCGAGTCATCGGTAAACAAGTACAGGAAGGCCCCACTTATACGGATGGTTAGGTTCCAGGCTACTGCCGTAAAGCGGAAACCGCCGTAAAGTGGAACACCCTTTTTTTCCACTTACAAATGCATACTAACACTAGATAACAAGTTTGCACTAACATATATTAAGTTAGCAATAGAACCAGGCATCAAAAAACAATAAAAAGTACAATACACACATAGTGCACTCATTACTTACCTTAAAATATTTATAGTCTTAATCTAGGGTGAGACAAGTAGTATTTATTGTAAGAAATCAAGTGTGGTATGTATGGTAGTCAGCCAGGCTACCATACCAGGCCAACCCACCCACACATATATTCCATGATATTTAAGCATCCCAGAGTGATAAAATGTATATACAGTTCACTCATTACTTACCTTAAAATATTTGTAGTCTTAATGTAGGGTCAGGAGTAAGTAAATGAGATAAAACGAATAAATGAGAGAGAGAAAGAATGAGTGTATGAGAGAGGACAGGCGCAGAGTTATGTAAACAAACCAGGCGAAGGTAAGTTTTGTAAACGAAGTGTACGCGTCTGGTTTGTGTACAAGTTACATTGTGTACAGGTTGTCTCTACATTGATACGGTAGAATAAATAAAGAAGAACACTCCCATTCTCATGTAACATCATTTAAGAAGAAATGAATGCTCTGAGTGAAGGCAATGGAAATAAGTCACTGACTTTTTTGGGTTATCCTAGGTTCTCTACACACATGTTATGTATGACTTTTTTGGGTTATCCTAGGTTCTCTACACACATGTTGTTATGTATGATAATCTATGTAACTGTATTTGTGTATACCTGAAATAAACTTACATACATACGAAAGGAATAATTTTTCTACAGTTACCCCCAGTAACACATATTCTCTTATGTTAGATTAGAGAAAATGTTATTCTTGGCATCACTTGTACAAGTTATCTGGCTACAACATCTCATATTTATGTTTATTTATTCTATTGTAGGGTGTATTTATCATCTTTTTATGTTATGTATCGTGTTTATTATATAATTTTGAAAAAATGTCATGGATGGATTAATGAAAATGTGTATATTAACGTAATATACAACATTTAATAAGACTCGGTGATTATTATTATTATTATTATTAGCATTTCTAATATGGCGTCACTTGTGCAAGTCGTCTGCTACCACATCTCATATTTATGTTTATTTATTCTATTGTGGGGTGTATTTATCATCTTTTTATGTTATGTATCGCGTTTATTATATAATTTTGAAAAAATATCATAGATGGATTAATGAAAATGTGTATTTAACGTAATATACGACATTTAAATGAGACGATGATTATTATCATCATTACTAATATGACGTCTGGAGACATAAGACACTCTTACTGATTTTAATGTGTACCTGCATGCCAGCACAGTATGTAAGTTTATTTAAGTACAGGTATACACAAGTATAATTATCAGAGTATATATAAAATATGAAATAACTTTTAAAAACATTTGAAATTTTGGAGTTTCCAGACAAAATGGAGAGACTTAGTGCTTACTGAGCTCACGAAGAATGTAAACAAACAAGGTGGGGCACGGTGACTGTATTAGAAAGTCAGGTGGGGGGAGCCGTATAGCGAGTTTTGGTCATAATTTGAAATGACCGTATTAGCGGAACGCCGTAAAGTGAAACGCCGTAAAGCGGCGCCTTCCTGTACATCGCTAAGTGAGGAGAGGCTGTATTGAAATTTGTGTGAAATTGGCCAAATTATCAATTTCTGATGACTTTATTGGGTAGTTGAAATAGTTGTTTGGGTGGTTTCTTGTGCTCAGTTGATAAAATGAAGGAATACTAGTGAAATAGCTAAGAATTTGGTCGACTGGAGCAATGTAATTGACCTAAAGTAGGAGTCAAAGTGGGCAGCAAAATTCACAGTAGTGTAATTTCTTCAGTTTTCCATCAAATTTTGTTTTATTACCTTCAGAAAAAGATTCTCTTATCATTTCATAAGGTGTTTTTTAAATTCTTGGACACTGAGAGCAATTCTCAGATCAAGGGTCTGGACAGTGAAAGGGTTAACGAAAAGAGGGAAGGTTGCTACAGCATCTGGAATGCCTACAGATTCATTTAGAATTTTTGTTTTTTTTTACATAAGTTGGCCGTCTCCCACTGAGGCAGGATGACCCAAAAAAGAAAGAAAATCCCCAGAAAGAAAATACTTTCATCATCATTCAACATTTTCACCTCACTCATACATAATCACTGTTTTTGCAGAGGTACCCAGAACACAACAATTTAGAAGCATATTCGTATAAAGACATAGTGGAACCTCAAATTTCGAATGTATCGCTTATCAAACTCTTCGAAAATAGGCTGCTTTTTTCGAACCAACTTTGTCCCCATTATTAAACTCGCCCCTTTTTTCGAACCGCTGGGTACCGAACCTGTCCACCAGCCCGCTCTGTTCGCGTCCCCACGCAGGCGCCGTGAGCCAGTCTGGTTTTGTTCATGCTTGAGTGAACACTAACCTGGGGTTTCATTCAAGCATTTTATGATTAATTCATTGTGTTTAGTGCTTGTGGGACTGTGAAATAAGCTACCATGGACCCAAAGAAACTTGGTAGTGGTTACCCTTGTGGTAAAGAAAGTGAGAAACACCATAATGTGAAGAAGGAAATAATAAACAGAAGTATGAGAGTGATGTGAAACTTGAGCTTGCCAGGATGTATGGAAAAAACAAGTCGACCATCGCTTCTATCCTGGCAAAGAAAGAACAAATCAAGGAAGCTGATGTTGTGAAGGTGTTAATCTTTCTTTTTTCACACGCCAGCCGTATCCCACCAAGGCAGGGTGGCCCAAAAAGAAAAACGAAAGTTTCTTTTTAAATTTAGTAATTTATACAGGAGAAGGGGTTACTAGCCCCTTGCTCCCAGCATTTTAGTCACCTCTTACGACATGCATGGCTTACAGAGGAAGAATTCTGTTCCACTTCTCCATGGAGAAAGGTGTTAATATGCTAACCAAAAAAAAAAAAAAAAGACCACAAATAATCGATCAGGTTGAGATGTTGTTGCTGGTGTGGATCAAGGATAAAGAGATGGCAGGTGATAGTGTTTCAGAGATGATTATTTGTGAAAAGGCAAGGAAGTTGCATGCCGATTCAAAAATTAAGGAGATTTGCGCCAAGTGGAATGATGTCCAAATGTTTGTGAAGAAGTACCACCCTGAGCAGGCTAGAACAAGCCATCTTTGTAACAAGTTCAATGACAGAACCATGTCCCATTTTAGGGAAATCTTAAGAGGCACCAGAAACAGAGGACTGTGGACAGTTACTTTGAGAGACGGGACCAGTGACTCTCAAGCTGGTTCTAGTGACATTAAAAGACAGAGAAGGGAAGTAACCTCAGAGAGGGCTTCGATACCTAAAGTCCTTATGGAGAGGGATTCCCCTTCCAAACACTAATGCCAACTCCCTCTCTCCTCCTCCCTATCTTCCAGATGCCATCATCAATCTTCAATAAAGGTAAGTAAAAATGTTATTTTATATGTTAAATTTATTAATACATAATTGTACACTATATTTGTTGTGTGTATGTAAAACTATAATCTCTGTAAAATGTATTTTTTTGTGAATATTTTTGGATTTCTGGAATGGATTAATTGTATTTTCATTATTTGTTGTGGGAAATATTGCTTCGCTCTTCAAACTTTTCGAATTTAGAAGTAGCTCCTAGAATGGATTAGTTCAAAATTTGAGGTTCCACTGTACAACATATCCCTCCAAACTGCCAATATCCCAAACCCCTCCTTTAAAGTGCAGGCATTGTACTTCCCAATTCCAGTACTCAAGTCTGGCTATATAAAAATAACCAGTTTTCCTGAATTTTTTTTTTTTTTGTTTTTTTCAACAAGTCGGCTGCCTCCCACCGAGGCAGGGTGACCCAAAAAAGAAAGAAAATCCCCAAAAAGAAAATACTTTCATCATCATTCAACACTTTCACCACACTCGCACATTATCACTGTTTTTGCAGAGGTGCTCAGAATACAACAGTTTAGAAGCATACACATATAAAGATACACAACATATCCCTCCAAACTGCCAATATCCCAAACCCCTCCTTTAAAGTGCAGGCATTGTACTTCCCATTTCCAGGACTCAAGTCCGACTATATGAAAATAACCAGTTTCCCTGAATCCCTTCACTAAACATTACCCTGCTCACACTCCAACAGATCGTCAGGTTCCAAGTACCATTCGTCTCCATTCACTCCTATCTAACATGCTCACGCACGCTTGCTGGAAGTCCATGCCCCTTGCCCACAAAACCTCCTTTACCCCTCTCTCCAACCCTTTCGAGGACGATCCCTACCCCGCCTTCCTTCCCCTATAGATTTATATGCTTTCCATGTCATTCTACTTTGATCCATTCCCTCTAAATGACCAAACCACCTCATTATTGAATTGATTGTATTTGTAAGATTTTTTTTTGTTGTGTTATTGTATTTTAGTATGCCATTTTAGTGTTAATATAATATTAAATCTCTTGTTCTATTAAAATACCTGTACTCATTAAAATTGCTTAATTTTTTCTTCTTGTTGGCAGTGACTTGGACTCCAGGCGAGAAGTAAAACGAGAGGAAGGTGAAGCTTTTGCTAGGGAGCATGGCTTAGTTTTTATGGAAACTTCTGCCAAAACAGCGGCAAATGTTGAAGAGGCATTCATTAATACTGCTCGGGAAATTTATGAAAAGATACAAGAGGGAGTCTTTGATGTTCATAATGAGGTCAGTAAATCTGTATCAATTCTGAAACTCTACACTAAAGGTCAGTGTAAAAAATGTGCATCTTTCAGGAGAGAAATATGCTTTACTCCAGTCATAATAATCAGAGTTGAATGGTGATCTTTTAGGGAAAAATTACTTTGTGATTCCTGGTAATATGGATTTTGCTCTATACAGCATATTGCTTTGTAATATATTGTGTTACCTATGATCTATTGTCATATTACATGTAGTCAATTGCTCAGTGTATCAACTTTACTATTGCAATAGGAACAATGTATTTAATTGTATCATGTCTACTTATTTATTTATTTTTTTTATTTATTATCACACTGGCCGATTCCCACCAAGGCAGGGTGGCCCGAAAAAGAAAAACTTTCACCATCATTCACTCCATCACTGTCTTGTAAAGCACCCTTCTGGCAAGACAGTGATGGAGTGAATGATGGTGAAAGTTTTTCTTTTTCGGGCCACCCTGCTTGGTGGGAATCGGCCAGTGTGATAATAAAAATAAATATTAATTTTAGTACTGTACATTGTGGCAGTTGTTGCTAACATTTGCAAGAGATAGCAAGTTTAAAATTTTATGTATTTTTTTATTTTTTTTTATGAAAAACACAGCATAGGAAAGAAGGGAAAAAGTATCTGGCTAAAGTGGTTGTTTGACAAAATTGTGCAAAGCTGCTATAAATTATTTTGAAATAAAATATTTGGGATAAATGAGATCCTAAATGATAACTCAATGATTTGAAGTGAGGATACTCTTGGAAGATTGGTTAGAGATGCTGTACAAGTTAATTAGTGTTAACTTACTTTTGCTTACTTTTTCTTGACTAATGATACATTCGGGAACAGTTTTGCTTATCTAGACCATCTCCCACTTAGCAAGTTCTTGTAACACCATGCACCAGGGAAGCAGGTTTGCCGTTTGCCACTCTTCTGTAATGCTTGCTACAAAGCTATTGTTTGGCAAGCCAGTGAGAGTATGTTTCACTTTGTCCTCAATTTGGTGTTTTCTGGATGTCTTATCTCAGCAACATATGTTCCAGAAAAGTCATGGATTAGTATTAAGAGGAAGAGCATTACTTCGAGACATGTAAAGTGACTTTTTTTTTTTTTTTTTTTTTTTTTTTTTTTTTTTTTTTTTTACACAGGGTTTGACAAGGTTAAGGATCCCTAGCTTTATTGACAAGCTATTTACAGGTTAAGGATTCCTAACTTTATTGGCAAGCTAAGAGCTGTTACCTACATCAGCTCATTTGAAAGCATTTTTATTGTTATGAGACACTAGTAGGGAACAGGATGAAGTTGGAGCCATCTGTGGGCCAGCATTTTCATTTGATCAACTGACTTTCTCTCGTTGACATCATTACGAATGTGTTCCGTACTAGAGTCATCCTGGGTATATGATCTCAGATGGAGTGATGTTCTGGAGAAGGGTACAGCCAGAGCGAAGTTGCTGCTTTCTGCCCGTCTTGTGGCATAAAACCTTGTTTCACTCTGTCCTCGAAGTGGATCCAAGTGTGGTACTTTGACAATATTGGCCTTGTACATAACAGTAAGGCCACCCCACATCCTCCTGTGTTGAAGGCTCTGCTGAAATGGGCAGATCTATCCAGGATGGGTCCAGGCGAGAGATGAGATGTCTTGCTCTGTTCTCCACTCTGTCAAGCAGTCGCAGATGAGAGGGCGGGGCAGGCAAACCAAGAAAGTGGGGCATACTCAAGGTGTGAGTGTACTTGTGCCTCGTACAGAATCTTGCAACCCTACTGTCAAGCAGATTTGAGATACGGCGAAGTGCTGCAAGCTTCCTGGCTGCCTTGTTTGCTAGATTTATAACATGGTTCTTCATGGTTAGTTTGGAGTCAAATTTCACCCCAAGGATATTAACTTCTTCTCCAGGGGCCAACCCCCCTCCCATTCATCCTTACTACTGCACCAGCATTACCATCATGGTGCCTAGAGATGATCATCATTTGCATTTTCTCAGGTGCAAATGTTACTTGCCATCTATTTCCCCAAGCTGATATAACTCTTAGCTGGTGATTGATGTAGCTTAGAGCAGCTGGTAAGTTGATGCTGGTAAGACATTGGTGTAGTTGCAAATGCCTTAAACCGTTGGAATATACAGTGACCTCCGAAGTTATGTGGTTTGTAATCTGTGTTATTCTTTTATGCAGTATTTTTGCTGAAGAGCACTTCGCGTACATTTTCAGTTGTTAGTTTTTTGGCAGTGCCCAGGCACCCCCAAAAATATTAATCAAGGCATGTGGGTTTAGTCGTTTGATAGGACTATATTTAGATTGCGTACCTGGAAATTGATGTATTAGATGTATTGCCAGTTATACAGCATGAAAATCCACAACTTTTCGTAAAGTCCTTCAAGAATACAAAACTAAAGATTATCTTAATAAAGGCTTTAAAGTCTCGCTTTGATTTCTAACTTTGAGTACTCATTTTATGAGTTGCATCTGTGGAAAGAAAGCATGTCATTGGAATGTACAGTAGGGGCCCCCCTTACAAAGGCAGGTTAGGTTCCAGGCTACTGCCAGAAAGTGGACATCGCTGGAAAGCAGAATGCCATTTTTTCCACTTATAAATGCATACAAATGCTAGACAACAAGTTTACACTAACATATATTAAGCTAACAGTAGAACTAAGCATTAAAAAACAATAAAATGTCAAATACATACACAGTACAGGTCTCCCTCCACTTTCGCGGCTTCAAACATTCGCGAATGCCTAGCCACCCAATCATATTTAAAATATGTCATTATGTATGTTAGGAATTGTGGCAGTGGCAGAGTTTGTTTGGAGAGAGAACAAGATAATCCTTCAATATGACACTAATATCAACTCTACGGCTTATTTATCTAGTACAATTCATCTAGTATGACATGATAAACAATATTAATAACTTAGAAACATGATATATACTTTAGAATGAGTAAAATAGAATGTCATTAAGTATGTGACGAGTGTTATGGTGGTGTTTGTTGAGTGTATAAGGGCCACTGAAAGATAAGCCTTACATAGTGGTGGTGATGGCGGCAGCAAGAGGCGGCAGTGTTGTCAAGTGGCCCTATATACTTCCAGCAACATTAGAGGAGTTAGGTTCGTGCTGCCCTTTTTCTATCGATTAATCACTTAACTTACTTGCTACACTGTTAATGCTACACTTTATTCTTTATCGACATCTGCTGCTTTAGTATCATACATATTTAGAATCACTGAATCACTGAAGAAGGCACTTTCTCCCCTCTCTCTTCCTCTTCCAGTTTGGTACTTTGCTACAAGTTCTTTCTTGAATTCTGTAGCCTTTCTTACCTTCTTTACCAAAGGGCTGGCACTAGTACAGTATTCTACGATGTTTTCGTGTGTTTTATGATTGCTCGTGGTTCAATAGGTTAAGGAAGAAGTATTGTTAGGCTAAGTAAATGCTATTATTATATTTCCCTACAATATATTTGTGCACCAAACATTCGCGATTTTTCAAAATTGCGAGGTCTTGATCCCCTAACCCTTGTGAATGTGGAGGGAGACCTGTACATTCATTACTCACCTTAAAATGTTTGTAGTTTTCATGTAGGGCGAGAGGTGAGTAGTACTTATTTGTAGGAAGTCAGGTGAAGATAGCCATGGCTTCCCGTCCCAAACTTAATACTGTATACGATATTTAAAACAGCCGAGAGAGATAAAATACACATACAGTACACTCGTTATTTACCTTAAAATATGTGTAGTCTTAATGTAGGATGAGAGGTGTGTAGTACAGTGGAACATCAGTTTTCAAATGTCCTGGTTTTCATAGGATCCAGTTTTCGACACCTTTTTTTCGTCTAAAATTTTGTCCCAGTTTTTGTACATTCACTCGGTTTTTGTAAAGTTGACAATGGTCCTCCGTACCAAATGTGTCTGCCTGCCCGCACCCACACAAAGCATCCCACGTGTTCTGACTCGGTCTGCTTTGTTTCTTATTGAGTGAGCATTACCCCATGCCTTTGGATAACATTTCATAATAATCCATTGTATTTTGTGTTTATTGAGTGCGACTGCTAAATAAGCCACCATGGGGCCAAAGAAAGTTCCGAGTGCCAGCCCTTTGATGAAGAAGGCAAGAAACACGATAGAATTCAAGAAAGAACTTGTAGCAAGTACGAAAGTGACCGCAGCTGAGGAAAATGCTTCAAAGAGAGGGGAGATAGTGCCTTTCTTCAAGTGATTAAGGAAATGTGTGCCAAGTGAATGAATGCACAGATTGTGGAGAAATATCACACTAACAAAAGGCTGTTGCAAGCCTGTGTTTGTACACATTGTTCAATGGATTAGCCCTGTGCCTCATTTAGGCAGATCTTAAAGATGCCAGATAACAGACCTCTCCGACAGATTTTTGTGTAGACATGGGTCCAGTGACTCTCAAGCTGGCCCTAAGAGTACCGAGTAAGAAAACCAAGAAGGGAAGGAAACCCCAGAATAGGGCCTTGAATACCTGAATCCTTTATGAGGGGAATCCCCCTTCCAATCATACCCTTCTCCTCTCCCCTCCTCACCGCTTTCATAGCCAACAAGATTCTCAATAAAGGTATAAGTGATGTTAAATGTGCGATGTTATATATCCATAATAAGTCATTTATAATTATTTTCTCATCGTTTTCTGTATGAAAACTATAGTTAATTCTCTATAAAATGTAATTTTTGTTAATAATTTTTGGGTGTCTGGATGCATAACATGGATTTACATTACAAGGGCCCACTTTGTATGGCAGGTTAGGTTCCAGGCTACTAGCTGTAAAGCGGAAATCGCCGTAAAAGTGGAACACCTCATTTTCCAACTTATAAATGCATGCAAATACTAGATAACAATTTTTACACTAACATATATAAGTTAGTAAGTTTTATTTAGGAATACACAAATGCAGTTTACCATAGATTGTGATACATGGCAGCATATTTGCAAAGGTACCTAGGATAGCCCAAAAAAGTCTCACAGTGTGACTTATTTTCCATTGGGGTTTTAGCAGTAGAACTAACGCATAAAAAGAAAAAAAAAGTAAAATACTCATGTAGTGCCTCATTACTTTAAATAGTGTAATTTAATCTAGGTGAAGACAAGTATACTATGTAAGAAATCACG